ACAAGATATTAAGACTTGAGAGTTCTAGTCACGAGAGGGAGAGAGAGAGAGAGGAGGGCAAGAGTGAGATTTTGTGTAAAGCCCACAAAAATGAAATCCCATCCCAAGTAATCCCATGGGGAGGTGGGATAACTTTTAACTCAATTGGCTGGGATGAGATAAAGTGTAGGTTATGATTTGTCCAATCTTTATATAACACCAAATGTGGGTTATAGTAGTTTAAGATTAATTTTTATCCAATCTTGAGTTATGTCCGGGTGTACAAACGTGCAGTCAAGCCATAAACAATTCATATAACGCACCTCAACGTCGAAGTCCCACCGGTTGAATAGCTTGACATCATAGTCAGTTTCTATAGCGGGAGCCACAGCAGTTTCCATACCTATACATAGGCAGCGACAAGCTAAGAAAGCAAGCAGCAGCAGAAATGTTAAACTATGATCCTATTGCCTCAAACACTATAGAATTTACTAATTTGGCACAAGTAAATTATCTCAGGATGCAGCAAATGGACCAGGTAGTTAGCATCAACTAAGTGAATAAAGAATTTACAAGCCTTATCATTTTCTCCGGCAACCAAACAGAAAAGAACTCATGCAATTGGAAGATTTAGAATCTACCTCCTAACACGAATATGAGACTAATTAAACAAAATCCATATGCGTGAAATATGCAGCAAATCGAAGCATAAAACCAGTAACGAGCACGGAGCGTGAAGAAAACCTTAGTAAGAGGAGCGCTGAGGGCGGAGAGAAGAGGTAGGGGACAATGCAGAAGGTACACTGGCGCTATCTCTTGGTCGACGTTGGAGTTGGAATGAAGACAGGAACCCTAGATTAGGATTTATAATTTATAGAATAAGGAGAACAAAAAATACGGGTTTTTCGTCCATGCTAACGCGCCCATACTAAAGTTTTACGGATTTAAAGCCCAGTAGTTTTGCAGGCTAGACTTGGAAAAGGGCTGGTGATACCTGACCCACCCTATCCATTTTTTTTTAACCTTTTATTTTAGTTGTCCCATCCTATAATTTTTTTTATTTGAATCCCATCCTATATATTCTATCTTATAAGAACGAGGGAAAGTCGTATAAAAAAAAAAAAGAAAAACACAAAGGGAAAGTGATTCTTGCTGATGAAGAAAGTTTTTGCAAATAAAATTAGAGATAGCAATTGCGCTCAGGAAGTTGGGACATTTCTGTTTTTGTAAATTATAGAGACAATGATCCCTATGGGGGGTTTTTCATGTTGGCAATTTTTGTGAGGATCTTTTGCCCCCACAATCTATGTTATAATATTAATTTAATTATTTTTTTATTATTTTAAAAAACACTATTTTAAAAAATTGGGTTAATGTCAAAAAAAATTTTAGGTTGGGTTTGATTTAGAATAATTAAACTTAAATACTGAGCTAAAATTAAAAATGATAAATAAGTATGATTTATGATTATAAATTAAATATTTAAATTTTGGTTGGATTCATATTATGTGACTCAAATTTAACATCCCTTAATTTCACTAAAGAAATTTATCATTAAAGTAATTAAATTATTGGTGATTGTGAAGCAATAGGTTATTACATTTTTTTTAGATTTATGGAGAAATTAAATATTTTTCTGTTTGCTATAGTCATACTTAGTTGGCTGAATTGATACTAACATTTATAGCATTGATTCTAATATTAGTTTTCTTCCCAAATTTCAATGAAGACCCTTTTGAGGGTAATGGGTAATTGATTTCTGTGGGAAAATTTTGCTGCTCAATAAAGCACTTACTTTCAGCCAATTTAAATGTTAGTGACCTTCATTGACATGTTCATAAATTTTTATCTCTACATTTTACGATTTAACTTAGTGTACTAAAAGATATGATTGATACATGGTGTAGTGTATGGATTTTGTATTATGGATAGAAATATCTCTTATACTTCATTTTAATTAAATTTTTATTTGGCTAATTAAAAAAAGAAAAAAAACTTTTAAAGGCTTTGTTTCGTTTAATTAATTTTTTTTTAATCTCACCTTGCATAATATGAGGTATTTCTCTCATTTCTTAACTCACTCAACCGGTATATTATAAGATTCAAACTTAAGATTTTTTATTTCTCGTAAAAGAAAATTACGACTGAAAAGATATTACCATTGAGTTATTTAAGTCATTGACTTATTTAATTAATTTAGTCATTTTAAACCAATTATAATTGATATGTAATATCTAATTGCTAATAATATTTAAATTATAAATAATAATAATAAATATCAATCATTTTTAAAAGCATTGTTTCATTTAATTATTTTTTTTATCTTAACTTTCACAAGACGAGGCAACTCTCTCCCGTTTCTTAATTTACTTTAATTACAAATTATGTGACTTAAACTATAGACTTTTTACTTCTCGTAAAAGAAAATTATTACTGAAAGGAGATTACTATTGAGTTATTTAATTCTTTGATTTATTTAATTAATTTAGATATTTTAAACCAATTATAATTGATAAGTAATATCTAACTGCTAATAATGTTTAAATTATAAATAACAAAAATATTAGTCATTAAATATCCTCAATAATATAAACGGTTTACAACAATGAAACCGAATAGATTTTTTAACCTTTACGAACTATCATCCGCCATTCTATGTACCTATGCGTTTTTTTTTTTTTTTTCGCAATGAGAATAATCCTTATTCGAGCAAATCTTAAAAGCTCACCATCCACATTGCCTGATGCATTTAAAAGAAATAATTTTTTTAAGTGTTATTCTAAAATTTAAATCTTAAACTCAATATATAAGAAAACATTTGTTTTGTAGTGAATCTATTATGGGATGTACATACGTGCGTGTGCAAAAGGGCTCCAAATGCTAAGCCTAAATCTAGAACTCGGAGGTAAGTGAGTTGACCTTACAGGTGGACTCGGAGGTAAGTCAGGAGGAGTCGGCGGTGAAGTAGTGGCCAACGAGATTAGGATTAGAAGGTGGTGATCCAATGACCAAGCCAATAACAGAATCGACGGCAGTGGTGAGAAGGGAGCCTGGGGCTGAGCCATAGCAAAATAGGCCTTTCTTGTTTCTTCCTTTTTCAATAATTATCACTCTCAAAAGATTTTAAAAATTCTATCCCTCTAGATTGTTGAAGAAAAGAGGGAAATAGAGTGAAAGGTAGAAAGAAAGAAGAAATAATAGAATAATATTTGAAGATCAAAAACAAAGAGAGCAAGAACATGGTAGTCCAATTACCGGCGAAACAAGATTTGAAGATATAATTTTGCTCACCTAGGGAGAGAAATGAACACTAAAGAGTAAAGGAAAAATTTCAACTAAGGAAAAGATAAGAAGAAGAAAATTATGGCATGCAAGATCCACAGTCTTGTAAAAATTTTGCATCCGATTTCACTTTTTTAATTTAAGAGTATAGCTGTATAAGGTACGTGGTGAAAAGAGAGAGAGTGATGCAGCGAGTAGGGAAAAGGGCGATTACCTTAGCATTCCTCTTTATATATCCTGAAATTAATAATTTGTTTTGGTCGGCTGAGTGGCTGACAAAGTCTATCCACCTCCAGCAAAAATATAAAGGGCAAGTCCTTTTAACAACCACAAAAGTCCTTCACAGTGTTTTTTGATTGGGTTTGTGTCATTTCCACCATTTTTATAAAGGCCCATCACTGTACTCAGAATGCCTGAGAAACAGACGTTGTCGTTTCACTGTTTTCTATCTCTCATCTACTGAGGATGGAAGAGGCTTCAAAGGTAGCATCTCCTTATTATTCTCTAGTTTTTAGTTACTTCTATAGTTTCATACTTGCAGATTTTTTGCTTTTTTATGCTTTCCGGCAACTTAAGCATCCATAGCTAGGCAAATAGATTGATGATGGGTGGGTTTCTTTTTATCCCTTGAACTTGACACTAGTTTTATTTCTGGTGGGGGTGACCGTGTCATTGATCACTCGACACCCTTTTTTATGTTACAATCTAATTTTTTTCTTCAATGTGTAAAATGGTGATGCATCAATCAAAATCTTGATCTATTGGTACGACTCTTGAGCTTCTTTATTTGAAAATATCTCATTCTTTGTCTTTCATTTTCCTGTTTGGGTGGCTTAGATTTTATGGATAGTTCAGATTTTGTAGGGAGGTAATCGTCAATCAAGGGGATATAAGCTATGAAAAGAAAACAAGAGACAAGAGTAAACCTTTGTTTGCTAAAACTTAGATGCTATTTAACTTAATTTTTATTTTCTTTTATGCATATTCGAAATTTAGACTGAGTTTTAGTTTTTTGTTTTCCATTTTCTATTTGCAGTTCAAGTGCTCTTAGTTGTCTTTATTTACTCAGTCTAGACTGCCAGTGAGAAGGAAATAGGTGGAAGAGTTTAGGGTGAGGAAAGAGATGTTGAGAGAGATTTGGTAGCCATAATATCTTCTAATTCTTCTTTCCCATTCTTTCCTCAATTCTATTCTCCAATCTTTTTTGTCACCTTTGATGTGCGATTGCAGGAGTTTTGGACTATGGCTGTAGTCCTTGGCTCAATTAACGAATTTGTATAATGAAGGTAGTTTTGGCTGTGCTTTTCTCCCTTTTTTCTTCCTTGTATGAGTGTGTTTTAGGGCTGACAAGGGGGCAAGGCAGCAGTGATGGATGAAAAGGGTTAACAAAATTGATAAATAAACTAAAACAAGTCATTTGGGTGTTATATGATGGCAGGGACTTATCTGAGCTTTATCTCCATGTGCAGGGTCTTTATGTCCTTAACTGATATTGATTCTTATTGATTCTTAAACTACACATTATAAATTTATATGACTTGAAATGGTATTCATTTATTCTTTTTTGTTATATGTGATAAAATTTACAAATTAAAGTGAACAACAAAAGTTTTTGTGAAGTCTATTATATTAGATCATGATAGCTTAAGTTGTTTTTTGTTCTACTCTAAATTATTGTTCTTTATTTTACTTTTACTGAAAACTACATCTTTGGTAGCTTTTTTTTATTCACTTGGCAGGATTCACTTGGTGGTAACAGCATAGAGCTGTTATGATAGGTGAGTAGCATTTTCTGTTTATTCGTTACTGTCTCAATACATGATAGCTTAGACTACCTTCCATCGTATTTCTCTTATGTTGTCCTTAAATCTTGCACCTTATTATTTCTGAAAAGTATAATTTCTGCTTCTTTGGTTGCCCCTTAACAACATATCCTGTGCATGCTGACTTCTTCACTGGGTTAGGAATATGCTTCATGGGAATACTTATAAAGCATTTCTCATATTTTTCTTGCGTTCTATGGGTGGTGCAATTGTGGTCTGAAATGTTTATTTTATTTCCAGCTCCTTCTCCGCAACTTTATTTCTTTAGTTTTGTTCATAGATATTAATTTTTACTGTTATTTTTTTTCTCATATGTTTCTTTAACCAGCCTGTATTAGTTTAGCTGATATCAATGCTGAGGAAATGCTTAACACTTTAAAGTATGCAAATCGTGCCTACGATATCCAAAACAAACCTGTTGTAAGTAGATATTAACAACCCCTCTCCCATCTTTCTTTTTCTATTTTACAGTTACATATAGGCAATATTTTGCTATTTCTAAGAGTTAATTCTCTGTATTTATAGGTTAACTGTGATCCTAAGACCAATGAGATGCTAAAGATGTGTCAACAGCTGGAGTATTTGCAGGCAGAACTTTGTGCCTGTGGGGGGTCCGATGAAGTGCATGTATCCAACTTCTTTACACTATCAAATAAACTTAATATTTCCTTTAGAATTTTATTGTTATAATTTTATTATTTATTTATTATTATTATTAGAGAAATATGTTTTACAGGACGGACTGTATGCAGTCTGTCCTGTAAAATTACTTAAATGCCCTTAAATTTGTTTTTATATTATTTTATCAGGGGTATTTAATTAATTTCACATACAGTCTGCCCTGAGAAACAGTTTTCAGTTATTATTATTATTATTTTGCATTCATTACTTAACATTCAGAAGCTTTTTCTGTTGCTTTTCTTTTGATGAGTCTTGACTCTTGAGGTTTTCTAGGGGAATAATTTATATCAGATTTATAAGTTTCTAAGGAAGGTAATTGTGTAGGTCTTCAAGGAAAAATGGGACTCCCAATGGTCATGAAAAGCAAGATAGATTTGTTTGAATGGGAGTCCTAATGTAAGCTAAATAATCACATTAAAATATTAAATAAAAGTTTCTAAAAGGTAATTGTGAAGGTCCTAAAGGAAAAATGGGACTCCGAATGTAATTTAACTGCTATTGCTCAATTCTTTATATGGCCTTTTACAGTTTGTTAAGTATGTAGTGATTCAAAGTTTTTCATTTCAATTCTTGATGTTGCATTTGGTGATCTGAGAAAGAGTTCATTGTCTTTTTGCATAAGCTCTGTCTTTCACCTATGCCAGAAATGGCTTCCTGTCTTCGTAAGTTCTGTTCTCCATTTTTCCTTTTTGTCAAATTATGGGTTTTCATAACTGTTTTAGTTCTAGCCTTTTTTTTGCCTTCGTTAATTTTTTTTCTCATTTTTCAGAGGTTTGAATCCTGAGAAATTGAGCTCTTTTCTTCTTTCTTCTAACTCAATTTAAGCTTTGTATTGCTTCTGTGATTTTATTGCTTAATTCTTGATTCTTGATAGTCTATTTAAGCCTTTGTTGTTAACCGTTAATTACAGTTAGCCTAGATTGCATGTCTTTATTGTTAATTGCAGCCTTTGCTTCCTTCTTTTTTTTTTTTTTTGGTTTGTTTTCATCCACAATCTCAAACGTCTACGCCATTCATATGATGGGATTGTATTAGAAAGATATTCCTTTCATTCTTTGCATTGATTTGATTAAATTAACAAATTGGGCAGCATTGGAAAGCAATTGACTTACTTGTAAAAAATCCCCTTTTGTGGCTTAGGAGGGATTTTGGATTTGGAACTTGGAAGGTCATTATGGGGAAGAAATTACATTTGACCAACCATGCATGATGGGTAACCTATGCTCATTGCTGTCACAGTTGGTGCACTGGACTCAAGTGTAAAGGACACTGCCTCTTTCTTCTGTGTATCATGATGGAAATCTTCAGTCTGTTGAAATAAGCAATCATGCTATTCTACACTATTGTTCTTTGAGTAACTAAGGTTGATTTAGAACTTCATGTGAAGCTAAGCTGACTCATCCTTTATTCTCTTCAGCCTTGAATTTGTTTTCTTTCTAACTTTGGAAATTCTGAATCTTGATAAATATCTATCTATTTGCATTCTCTTCTCTCCAGTCATTTTCCAGCCTGCCATTTATATTTGAACTTTTTCTGAATTTTACTGTGTCCTTTCATTTGATATTAATTTTGTTCCTGATCTATTGGTATGAAGCAGAAAGAAGAAGAATTGTGGTGGCTGATATGTTTGAGTGCGTATTCCATCTCTATTATGGAGCTATAGTGCACCTATCCATCTAGAATCTAATCTCTCTGACAGTGATCTCTTTTTCCTCATTGCACATGAGTTGGATGAGTTTAATCAGGTTGTCCTTCTAAAAACCATCAAAACTTCAATTCTAGGTGTTGAGCCATATATGTGATTTATTCACTTGATGCTTTTTGTGCTGCAGTTGGGAAGCCAGATAAGCATTGGCAAGGAAGCTTATGCTCAGCAGAGTAGCAGATTTCCAGCTAGACAAACCATTGGCTCTAAATCCCAATTTTGTGCACAGTCTCAAATGCATACTTTTTTATGCAAGCTTGGATAAAGTACGATGATGGTCATCTCTAGATAAGGATAGATTCATTTTCTCTTTTTTCCTCTGTTGTAAGAATTGGGTGTTGTACACAAATTAGAAGATTAATACCCTTATCTTCTTAAACTTGCTTCCATTACCTCGGAATTAATTCATTGCAGATATAATAGCTCTGCCTGGTGAAAAGGAGATAATGGATGTGATGGAAGTTGCACATCCAGATACTGTTCAAAGTTTATCAGGAAAGAGCTTGCCTCTCAACTGAAAGCAGAGTTCTAAACATGGTATGTTTATTGAATTGATAATAAACATACATATTTTTCTTTTTTATGACATCTTGATTAGTCTACATGACTATGACTATAGTCTAAAAGAGTTCTTTTTTTTGGTTTCTTTTGCTTTTCATTTTTTCACTTTAATTTGTTGGGGGTGGGTATCTCAGGTTCACGCAAGCAAGAGCTCAGAAAAGTTATGTATTTAACCCTCTTAATTTGGCAAGGTGTGCTCTTATGAATATTGCTCTTGGTCTGTTTTGCTTGAAATCAAATGTTTGCAAGATTGTCGTTTAAAAAAATTTTGTTGTCTAATTGTGCCAATCTTTCTTTTGTATGTAGGATATTTTGCTGTCACTTGATTTACTGCAAAAGGACACCTCCTTTTCTGCAGCTGAAGAAGTATAGGAATCCACAGATATGAAAGTTATATCATTTTGTTCATAAGTCTTTGGCATGTCTTTTTTTTCTCCAATTTGTATGTTTAAATTGTATAGCATATATCTTGATTTTGTCTTAAAAATCTATACTTGCTTTTGATGGTTCATTTTGAGGAACTTGATCATGGGTTTATGATTGATTTGAGTTTTTTATTTGAGGTTGCTGCACTGTAAATATTGGTTCTGCAATGTAAGTTGTTCTGGGTTGGAATTTCAGGAAGAAACAGAATAAGTAATCTTTTTGTGACATATCCTACTAGAAAAAATTGACTGGTACGTGGTCCTAAAATTCTCTGATTGTGATTATTGGCTGTATTATTCATTTTAGAAGGAACTGAATTTTTCATTGTTCGGATTTAGTGTTTAGTAAAAGTAGAAATCATAAGTGCTTCTGTTTCTGTACACAACATAATTTAGGCTTCCAGGTGTATAATTAAATATTCCTTCTTTGCCATTTCTAAGCATTAGAGGAGCTGATTCTAATGGTCAATTCTCTTGAAAGCAAACAGTTCATTGAGGAGCTATTTTGTAAAATCAACCAAAAAATAAAAAGCCCTGTCCATTAAACTCCCAAAAAAGCCCTTGAACAATAACAATTTAACTGGTTTTGCAATATTTCTGGATGAAAATGAATAGATTTTCTACACCATGTTAAGTTTTGTTTTAAGGAAGAGAGGAGAGACTAGATTAGGAGAGGAGGAGAGAGAACTTTGAACATGAACATGACATAGAACCATAAACATGGAAGGGTGCAGACATTCACCCAACTGGAGAGGGAAACCATGTTTTCTCACACTCAATTTTCATCAATTTCTTCCTTCTGTTTTATAGAGGAAGGCTACACAGGCTACACATAAAACAATAATATTTTCCTACCTAATACAATAACTTTTAGCTACCCAAAGCATTGACTAAAATGTTGAACTTTGCTGCCATTTCTTGCTGCCCATGTGCAGCTCCATGCTGCTTTCACTTTACTGCAACTTTGCAGTCATGTAGGAGCATCATTTAACAGCTCTCATTTCATTGCATTTTCAGCTTTCATGCCATGGCTCCAACAATTCCTATGCATGGTAGATAATAAAATTGTCTGAAATGGGTACTTATTAACAGTGGCTTTTTACTTGCATCAAATTTTTGTTTTTATATCTAATAAACCAATCTTTTTATCAATTGCAGAATCTAAATATTGTTATGTATTCTCTTAGGGTTTGGTGTTTTTTTTTTTTTTTTTCTCAATTTTTTCTTTTTGTCTTGAATTGCAAATTATAGTCTTTATGATGATAAGGATTACATCTTTATTGTTAGTTTAATTATGTCTGTAAAAGATCACAATGATTATTTGGAAGAAGTGGAGGAGACAACGGAGAGAGGGAATTGAGGGACTTGCCTTAGTGAAGCTCCTCGAATCAACTCCTGCAGGTAAAAGAATTCTTCTTTCCCTTTTATTTTGATTTCTCCTTCTGTCATTGACTTAGTTTTCTATGAAAGAAGCTCTTCTTGTTTCATAATCCCGACTGATGCTTTCACTGTGTCAGACTTGCTCTGACCTACCTCAAGATGGAGGGCATTAATATAAAGAAGGTGAGGGAATTAGACTGATATTTATACCATAGGAATATGATCTGCATATAGATATCATGTTTGGGACAATTTTGATTCATGTTCATCCATGTCTTTTAGCTTTGCTGATCTTCAAAAACCATAACTAGAACTTGATGGGAAGGCATATGCAGCTGCTGGGCAGGGTACTCTCATGGCCCTGTATGTTTCATTCTTTGGTTAGGTAGTTATGTATTCTCTATTTCATTTTTGCATCAGAGTCCATTTTTTTATGGCAAAGGACTTTTGGCAATACTTTTAGTCT